TATGGCTGAGATTGCGGAGAGGATGGCATGTCAATGGACTGTTTGGGTTTCTGGCCATATTTTCAACGTTTCTGCGATTATTTTTTGTACAGCCCCACCAAAGGACGGGTTATTATCTCCTGACCGAAATATTTCTTTGCTGAATACAACCCCACATCGGTGTTTAAATGTCGATTTAGTATACTTTAATCTATCATACTACAAATTCCCAACTGGGTTCGTTCCGCTTCTGGCGCGCATTTCATTCCCATTGTGGCGACAAAGAGTATGTGAGAAAGTTTTAATTGAACGCAAACGACAAGGTCCCCGGCTATACTAATTAGAATTTACCACCGAAATTTAAATAATAAAATAATTTATGTTGGTGCGTGGCAAGCGCCAGCAAACTCACACACACGCACACGCCTAAAGTAAATCTACCAACACCAAGAGCGCAAATCATGAAGGCGGATTTGAGGAATGTTCATTCGGCAGCTTGACAATGGCATCAAGCGTGGCAGCAGCGGGGGCGGACAGCAGCGCCAGCATTGATAATGGTATATATGTATGTATGTACATAGTTAAGCATCTATCTATGATATATAAGTACCGCTGCACTTTAAAATGCTGCTGAAACTGGCGCACTGGCTTTGGTGTATGCTCCTAGTCAAATGACACTGGCAGACGTAAATATTTGCATATTCAGACACCATTTTGTTGCGGTAGAGTGATGTCGCATATGTAAGTATGTATGTATGGCTACCAGACAGTCAACGAGTTAACCAAGTAAACCAACTGTGCCACCGGCGAGCCAGGCAAACAGCCAGCCAGCCTGCCAGGCGCCTAGCGTATATTGCAGCGAGCCAGTTAACCGTCCGAACACCACAGACAATATCCAAGCGATCACACTTTTTAGTCACTGATTCACTGATTGCCAACGGTGAATGTACGGCAGTTGGTTGGTGCGACACCGCAAAAGCTCGGCTACTGTACGCGCGTACATGTGTGTATGTATGTATACTCGTGAGTGTGTACATATGTACGTCTTCATAGAAAATTTATAGAGATTTGTTTGCTTGTTGGCAGCATTTCACCACAATCATGACGGCCCAAAATACATACACAGTCAAACGCAGACAAACACATTTCGTCTACTTCATCTCCTTCCACTTTCGCTATGAAATTTTGTGAATTCACAATCCACCCGCCATTCCAGCTTTGATGCGGCGTTGATTTATGGTGACTCCTAACTGCGTGTACGCTCAATTTCATGCATACATACATGCATACACACATACATACATACATACATACATGCATACATGCATACATACATACAAGAATAAACTGCGCGCAGCAGCAACAAACACATGCATAAATATTTTATTGTTTGTTTGTATGCATGTACATACATACATACGTGTATGTATGTGTATGTGAGTATTCATGCCACCAAATATGCGCACAAACTGCCATTTGTCTGGCAACTTCGCTTCACTGCAAAATGGCAGTTTGGGTGTTGCTCCCTCAGCTCCTCCGCTCCTCAGCTCCTTCTCGAGGCGCCTGCTCATTCGCATTGCCACTGACATTGGTTGTCGGCATTTTGTGTTAATTTTTTTTATTTATTTCATATCAAAGCTGATATTGTTTTCGAAATATATGTATGTGGGCATGTAATAAATGTTGTTGCCGTTGTTGTTGTTGTTATATTAGTGTTAAACATTTTGCCATTTTGATAATCGTTTAAGTCAAACGCCAGCAAAAAGTTCAAAAGTTTCGCCAAATTCATTATGTTAGACTATACAGATTTTATATGTACATACATACATACATACATATGTATTTACATATTCATATCACATATGGACATGTGCATATTTACATAGATATTTGGTTGGAAAATTCCAATAAATTGTTTAGTCTAGCCGGTGATGTCCTTTATCCCTATAAGACGTGTATTTAAAGAAAATAGAAATATTTAAATTTGCATGTCGGAGTAGACTGAAAATTAAAAAAAAAAATAAATACAGTTACTCATCTTCTTTTTCTTCTTCTGTCTTGGGCACCGCTTACGTGATTAAAGTGGAATCAACAACAGCGCGCCATACGGTTTTTCTCTTCGTTGCTTGCCGCCAGTTGGATACACCAAGTTAAGTCAGTTCACCCTCCATTTGATCCTTCTAATGGAGTGATGGTCTTCCGCTGAGCTTACTTACCACAGTGCACTGCATCGAACACTTTCAAAGCTGGAGTGTTTTCACTCATTCGGACGACATCACCCAGCTTGTCGTCTATTTAGTTTTGTAACTCTTATTATTTACTAGATTTCACAAGCATCTACTTGCGTCCGTTCTTGCCACGTCCCTCCCACTTCTCGGATTCAGGTTTTTTGTTTTGGTTTGTCCCAAACCCTCCGCACAATCGCACTCGCCGGCTAACTTTGGCTCGCCTCCAACCTATCCAGAGGACACATGGTCTAAGACCAGAGGTCGTCGGCTGCTTGAGCCATATGTAAAAGAATCACTTCTTGTCGCTCCCAGGTGATTGGCAGTCAAAAACTTTCTTCACTTGCATGAGCTTCTATTCATAAAAAAATCTCGATTTATTGGGCCGCGCATCAGCTCACTTACGCCATTAAACGAGCACTTTGTGTCAGCACCGATGATTCTTATGACCCCCACATACTAACTAGACCAATGTGTGCTTACTCAAGTCTCCAAAGGATGTCGGTCTTAAAGACTTTAACCTACTCTCTCTAATTTTTCCCCCTTCCATATACAAATGAAGCAAGTCTGCGCTTGCTGATTTTATCTTGGTTAGTTTAGATGGAACTTTTATCGGACCCCTTTTTTTGTTGCTGGACCATTCCATAGAAGAAAAGTCCTTTATCGGAATTTCCAGTAAATCGAGCTAGGTCAACGATTTTTTCGAAAAAACCGACTCCAAGTTCATTCTTGTGAAGTAAATACGAAACATAGAGGAAGCCTTTTTTGAAACGAACACCTTATCTCGTAGATTTTCATTAATGGTCCAGCAGTAGTCCGCCTTCATGTGAAATTGTTTGTGGTTCCGGTAACGATTCTCCATAGTTCCAATAATTTGACGGAACCGTTCCTCCTTTGCTCCTCTCATTTACCAATATTATCTGAGTAACATTCAACCGTCCAAAAATAAAATCAATTATTAAGAAACGTCTAGCTTTCACCAAATTTGTATCCTAGTATGCAGTCCATATGAACTTATGGGGAATCTAGTAAACCCTCTGGTCGCAGACAAGATTGTCCCAGAAACTCCACAGAATGAGACATAAGTACGTATTATGCAACAAAAAAAAGGAACCTGAAGTATGGCATGTCACCCTAAAGTGTAGCTCAGAGAAGAGTTCCGAGTGATCTGAGGGTCTAGGGCTCAAAAGAAATATCTAGTCTAAAATGATGGCGCGAAAACTGATTATAAAAACTGGAACACAAGGGGGAAGACAAATGGAGTATTTGAATTAAGTTTGGATTATCTTTTATAAAGTTTATATGATATATATGGTTATTGTTAATTTTTTAATCAAAAATAATATTTCTGTATTTTATCTCGTTTAGTTTTTTAAAAAATATATGTCTGTAAAAATAAGACTGTAAAACTCACACACTTATACCTTTTCATACTCATTATAATAATTACATCTGCTAAATTACAGTCTCAATATCTACTACCAAAACTGGAATTGGTACTTTAAATTACATAAAATTAAAGCCAGATAGCCACACATCTCCCTAAAGTATAACACAAATGAGTATTTGAATTTACCACACCATGACTTGGAACTTATCAGCCGCTACATTCATTTCATAGTATCCACCCGAACCATTAATCATTATCAATTCTACGCTGAATTTTAACAATACTCGCCCTCCATATGCCTCCCAGGAAGCCACTCATAATGGCAAGCAAAGAGATTCAAAATATACCTGTGCTGATTTTATTCTATTTTATTTAAATTTATTTGATTTTATTTGATTTTATCTAATTTATTATTATTTATTTATTATATTTACCTTTATTATTATTTAAATTTATTTGATTTTACTTTATTTTACTTTACTTCTTTTCTTAAACATTTTATTTTATTTAATTTAATTTTGTTTATTTTTTTTTATTTTCTTTCTTTTATTTTATTTTATTTTATTTTATTTCATTTTATTGTATTTTATTTTATTTTATTTTATTTTATTTTATTTTATTTTATTTTATTTTATTTTATTTTGTTTTATTTTTTGGCAAGTTGGGTTCTCATAGTGGTGTCAGGGTATGTTTGTTTGTTAATTCGTGTGGGCTAATTAAAAATTAAATTGCCAGTGATGGAGTGAGAGCACACACACACACATCCATTAATATTGCCACATACAAACGTGCATGTGTTTAATAATGTCAAATATTCTCGGAAGAGTGGTTGATTTTATTTTACGATTTCGTGTGACACAATCTCATTTTTGGGGGTTGAATTTTGCCGGATTTCATTGTGTTGCGGTTAGTTGTGCCTTACTGAGATTTTTAACATGTCCTGTGTGTGTGTGTTTTTTTTTTTCATAAGCAATTTGCGCTTTATATAGCTATTTATGAGTATTTGCATATGAAATGATTTCCTGTTTGCATTGCTGAAGATTACTTGAAAAAATTAAAAATGAACTTAAAACGATGCGAAGCGAAAAAGTCTGCAGGCAGTGTTCCAAAAAAACAAAAAAAAAAAAATAAGCACAGAAAATTTTTGTAAAAGGATATCAGGGTAGAGGCAGTTATCACTACAGCCACAGATAACAGTATAAATTAGTATATGAGTATGTAAATATTTTGTCTGCGACAGCAGGTGTCTACATTCATATGTGATGATACTGAAAGCTTAAAAAAAATTATAAAGAGGTATGCGCATGTGAGCGAGTGAATTTATAACCTAATATATCCTTGATAGCTTAAAAAATTTTTTCTTAGCTCTAATGTAATTAAATTTATACTTAGATTGATTAACTTACATTTTTGATTTCATTCATTTTAGTAAATTGTCGCCCGAACTCCCAAAGATCCACGCCGAATTTAAGCGCCCAATTGCGCACTCTGAAAGTAGTTAAAAATATTTAGTCAATATTTTTGCTAAAATTTGTTAAATACAATAAAAAAAATACAAAATATCGAAACAATAAATAAACGTTGATTTCCATATGAGAAATATTATTTGTAGGGTTTTACCCTTGGTTTTGAAAACGTAGCAAAAAGCCTCCGGATTCTAACCACCAAAAAGTAATTTTTTTTTTTAAACCGAATCTAGCTGCTCCTCTCCAGTGCCATTGAACACTTTCTGAATTCAAAAGAATTAAATGAAGACAAACTGGTAGACCAAAAATGGTTACACAACTCTCCGAATAGAAGGTTTATCCACCATAAACCGGTTTTTCTCTAATAATTTAGTAGTCCTTAGGTCTTATTCAGCACATTTATTCTCCAGGCAGCTCTCTACTTGTGTTTTAATAATTTAAGATTATTTCCTTCCGTGATTCAAACTTCATTGTTAGTTAGTTAATTAATTAAATTGCTCAATCATGGCGTCCCCTAGGCCCATTGTGATACTTATGTTCGGCCTATAGAAAAGATTCCTTTCTCCTTTCTAGATGCTGAAACCTTTTTGGTTTGCACACGACATTATTGACGCTCGCTGGGACTATATCTGCAAATTATCTAGGAAACATTGTCGGGCTGCACTTAGACCTGGCTCTGGCAGAAGTACCAACTCTTCCTCGTGTATGTCTCTTCAGCCGCGACGGAAGCATGTAACTACGCCGGTTGTTATTAGAATGAGAGGTTATATTTAGAAGTATTAGAGACTGTTCATTTTGTATTGATCAATGACCACTTGCATGTGATTTCACCCTGCTCTGCTATTGGCCTTGCTGGTGAAGCCCGAACTTAGCAGGTATTTTGCAGAGAGAAGCAAAATTGCACCCTTTTTGCTAGCTCTTCGGTGTTGCAATTTCCTGGGATGTTGCTATGTCCGGGGACCCAAATTTCCCTACCTCTTATTGCCCCATTGGGGTGGGAGGACTACATTTAATATATTTAATAGCAGCTTGGCTGTCAGAATATATTTTATTGGGTTGTGATACAGTACTAGAGTAAAGTAACCAGCCGCTTCATGGTTCGTTACTACAATTAGTTCAACTAGAAAGGCAATGTCGTACTCATGTCGAACACAAGTGGACCACGAGTAAGCTCTGCAGCCCATCCTCTCATCCAGTTTTAAACCATCAGTGAAGGTGGCTACAGATATTTAGTCCAGAACTAGTCACGTTACCAGTTCTTTCGCTAAGCCTTCTGATGTAGGTTTCAGCGTGAGTTTTGTCGTGGACAGAGGTAGCCCACGATGTGTGTATAATTTATTGTAGTAAAGTGATACCAGTTGCCTCACATGGTACTATATCCCGGCACCCAGGGCACGACTGTGTTGTTGTGCCGGATGTGAGTACGGTTTGAGCTATGGTAGCCGGTGAAAGTCGACAAAAACTTTTGCAAAGTTTAAGAGCGCCTTTAGACTACAACTACCCCTTTGAATTGTGAAGCTCATAGCTGTCTAAGACGTGTTTCAGATAAAACCGGACAGCAGCCGAAATCAACATCAGTCCTGCAGTCTCTTATATACCGTAAAAGCAGAAATTGGATGTGTTTTTCCTTAGTTGCCATTGCACATAATCTTGGTTGTTATTTCGACATACGTTTCGTAATCTCATTGTGTCGCGTCGTACGTATTTACAGAATGGATGATGCTTTTGGCAGTCTCATAAACTATTTCGTTTCCGACCTTTCTTATAAGGTTCCCTGCCTTGCTAGCTATCTCAGCGCTTTCCCTACCGTGCGGATCCCTGCGAATAAAATACTGTAGCTCTCCTTTGAGATCGAGCTCTACGCAAGGATTCCGGCACCCACTTATCAGTCATTTCTGTTACGTCTATACCCTCCTTTACTAAGTTTTTAAACCATTTTCCCAGAGAAAGCTTGGTGGTATGTGGTCTAGTTGTATGAGCTCGGTTCCAAAGCCAACAATGTCACTGCGGATTTTCCACGATGCTTTCCACTTCAAAGTTGTTGGATGGTGGGTTGAGTAGCTCTTTGAAAGCAGCCGTTGGGGAAGTTACTAGCACTCCTGTTATGCAGAGTGTAGCGAGTCTTTGCATTTGTTCCAATGGCAAGTTAAATGAGATTTTCTCGCAGCGGTGAAGCATACTAAAGCTCCATAGAAGAAGATTGACTTTATTACCACAATGCCAGATATCACCTTGAGTCTTCTTTTATGCTTTAAGTGCACCATATCCTCCAACTTGAGCAACCACAATCGTTTCTCCTAGACACTTGATATTTAACCCAAGGCAGTCCATACTTGCAGTTGTGTCTTTCCATAGAGAATTACCAGTACAAGACTACGCTCAAATCTCACTAGAGACTTAAGCAAACCTCTTTATGTTTAAAGAGAAAAAATATCATCTGAAACACACGCGACCTACAAGCACACACAAGCTCTGATGAGCACTTACATTTGAGGGCGACTACCGTTGCAAGAATCTACAATTTTTGAGGATATCCACTTGGCCCAAGGCGTAAGGTTCCAATCGGACAAGATCTGTTTTTGTCTGGTTGGTTGAATACATGATTGTCTGTAAAAGAAAGAGAAGATCGAGAGTCCCATATGGAAGGCGATCATATCGCGATAGAGACGGCGGACTGAACAAATGCCTCCGGAGTTCCAAGTGTATGACGTCAAAACATTAACTTGGACCACTATGTTGTTCAGGAAATAGTTGCACGCCTTCTCTCTGAGTGATTTTCGGCCAAACCTATGAAGGGCAACTATTGGACGTCATTCAAATCCTCCTGTGCGCAGCTGTGCGAGATAAAACACCGACGAATGCCGGATGTAACCGAGATGTGGATTGAAAACAAAAGCTGGTCGGCAAAGAGCATGCTCGTAAATAAAGATATATGAAAATTTTGTCTGCTGATTAGAGTTTACAAGAAGGCAAACCTCAACAACTGCGCTGATTATTAATCTTTCACTTACGAGATTAATAAAAGAACAATTAAAAAATAATTAGAGCCGATTCTGACAGCTTGAGAAAAAGTGTTTCCAGTTCGGTTGTTGTTGCTTTTATTGTGATAGCCTACTGAAACCCGCCGAGCTGAGTAGGCCAGGTGTCATCCAACGTGCGACTCTGTAAACGAGCTGAGACGGCGGTACTCTCTATGAATGGATTTTAGAGCCTGTCAGTAAGACGACCTGCTCAGTGGTTCTGTTTATTTTTTTTTTTGGTGCAAAATGGAGTTCTTTAGGTCGAGTACTGCCCTCCTAATATGCTTATTTGGTCTTCGACTCCACACAAATTTCGAAATAGGATGACTAATGACTTCTTTAACCTACAGCTTTTGCCGAACTGGAGAGCGCATGAATCTGGTAGCAAACGAGAGCAAGATGAAACAAGCTCACACAGAAAAAGGTCTCCAAAGTTACTGCTATCGATGAAAGTGGACTCCATCACTCTTTGGGTAGCTAAAGCAGACTTTTGTTGTGTGGTATGTGCTATATGACTTCCTCAAAGTCTTAAAGCTTCTCTAGCTTTGATAAATAGAGGCTTTAATTACCGCCATTACCATTTTATATATATATCATAAGGAAGTCCATACACATACATACATACATATATTATACTCGTGCACTCATTAATCTCACCACAAAAAACGGATATTAAAAGTAACAGCAAATCTATTTAATTTAACCGGCTACGAAGCGCAAGCCATCAAAAAGCTTTTATTAAAGTTCAAACAAGCTAATAAATTTTCATTAGATTGACTGAGGCTCTGCCATTCACACCCACATACCGAACACACCTAACAAACAAATCTATTTTAAACGTATTTACGTCAAACGCGCCAAAGAAAGGCTTTTTCATTTAACAGTAAGTAATATTCGTAGTATGTGGGATAACGGTGTCGTCCATTAAAAATAGCAGGAGAACGTCAAAAGGCAAAGAAAGCGTTGGTGACGTTGGGCTAAATATAACTGTGAAGTCAAATGTAAATGACGCTAGACTGTGGGCGAGAAAGGCAAGTAATCAGGTCAAATAGAGTTTTAAGCTTTTGGAAATATTGTTGCTAAAGAGTAAATTGGTTATGAAGAAGAAGAAAGAAGAGCCAAATTTAGGGATTTCTCATTCCTGAACAAATTGATTAGATGGGGACCACTATAACATAGGTTCGATCTAACGGGCTCCGCTTACGCTATTATAGCCGAATTAATAAAAGAGCAACATTCGGTTCTTCTCTTCGCTGTTTGTCGCCAGTTGGAAATACCAAGTGAAACCAGGTCGCTCTCCAACTGATCCTTCCAACGCAGTATACACCTTAATCTTTCTCTGCTTTTACTATCGGGTACTGCATCGAATACTTTCAAAGCTGGAGTGTTTTAAACAATTCGGACCACAATACATAGCCAACACAGCCGCTGTCTCTTCATTCGCTGAACTATGTCAATCTCATCGTATAACTTGTACAGCTCTTCATTCTATTGGCTGTGGTATTCCCCATTGCGAAAATCCAAAATTTGTATCTTGAATACTCATAGAGTCGTCTCATCGGATGTCGACATTGTTCAAGCTTCTACACTATATAATAGGGCGGGTATGACATCTGACTTGTTGAGCTAGATCTATGTTCGAGAGGACTTCAATTTTCAATTGCCAGATCACTGGATACACGAAATTATCAATGACCTCGAAGATATGACTGTCAACAGTGACGTGGGAGCCGAGTTACTAATGCCAAGAGCCAATCTGAAACCTCGTTTCATAGCGAACGGCTCGCAGAGGTTCTCACCCATACAGACTGCGCTTCTAGTGGTTTCCAGCGCCAGTTTACACGGCCGTATAAATTTCGCAGGAATACAAAACTCAAAGCAGTATTTTCTCACCTTAAACAAAATGGACTATGTATTGACTGGGACAATAATATGTTTGGGGGGAATATGATTAGTTCTCAGGAGTGTAAACCACCAGCAGATTGGGTTGCTATTGTTGAGT